TATTCCCACTGCCACTAATAGTTGGATTCTCTCTTTAACATAATTTTGTACAGTCTTCAGTTTACTATGTGAAGCAGCTGGAGATGACCTGTGATAAAGCATTTCTTCTATTATCTATTATTATTATCATCTTAAAATATAAACCTCACGGTGACTCTTGGGGGAAAGGAAGGGCATTATAAAAGTCTTTAGGATTCATTGTTTTGGGTCCAGGAGGGCTTGAGCAGTAAACCATCCAATAGCTGTTGAGATATTTTAGACTTTAACTGTGCTACTAGAGTGATTAAAAACAAGATGCTGCCATAGCATTGTGCATCAGCATCGTCAATCATTGATGTATAAATTAGATTTTTTGATACAGAATGAAATCTGAACTGCAGCAACAGCATTTGTGCTTTTAAACCATAGAATGAGTTGCCCTGTTAGTCCTTGTGTATTAAAGGATTGTTTTTCCTATTTTAGTCTTTTAATGAGCGAGAACAACACAGCTTGACAAATGAGTAATCCCTTATTGTCACAGCAGCGAATTCACATTCATGCAGCCAGACACACAACCTGCTTCTCTAGATATCTGGAGGAAGGCGTCGACGCCGCTCTCTCCGTAGTTTCCCTCAGAGGCCAGTGTGGAGACGTAGTTCCAGCCCATGGCTTTGACTATGTCCACCATGGCCTGGGCCTGGTAGGAGTCAGGAGGCACCACACGGGAGAAGAACTCGTAGCGGCTTTTGTCGCTCAGCTCCGGGGCAGTGGAGGCGTAGCTGATCTGGGGGATCTGAGACACACGAATGGGTCAGTGGTGACGAAAGGGTCAAGCCAAGTGGAAAATATGAGCAGTGCTGATTATTAGGCCAATATGCGAATCCAAAGGTAACAGGGATGACAGGAAGAGGCAGTGAACCATGTCAGAGGATGATGCACTACTTACTCACAGACAAACCCTTAATAGAGTCTAAATAGAGGCCGTCCACATTAATACTGGCAAGTTGTAGTGCATTCAAATCCCATAACTAATATAGAGAGCGTTCATCTCTTGAACAGCCTGTGTCCTCAGTGATTCTCAGAAGTGAGGCAACTTCACAGCGCGATCTGCCCAGAGCTGGTCTGTGCCGAGGATGCGGCTCACGTCACCGTGAAATACAGATGGTAGGAGCCGCAGCTGTAAAAGCATTTGTTTGGAGGGAAAAAATGGACGAGAAGATTAATTTACTAGTGTGCTGCTTCTTTAATGACACAGTTTATGTTGACAGCCTCAACCCTGAACCTGCTAATGCTGGTCCTCCTGCGTGGCTTAACCTCGGATCCTCTGGAGGGGACGAAGAGAGAAAGGTAGACACAAGGGGTAGTGAAGGGAGAAGGAGAGAGGAGCGAGAGAACCATTTCACAGATTATCTGGAAGGATTATAGGGGTTTTAGTCAAATTACGTTAAGCACAGAGGGAGAGACAGAGATCAAGAGACTAGAAAAAGGTTAGCATTTCTCAGCTGTAAGCCATACAATATATTTAATTCTGATGGCCGCATGCAGCTATTTGCTGCTCTGCGTTCACCCCATCGAGCTCAAATTTACTGATCAGCTGGCCCTCTGTGTTCCAGACCACATCCCCAACCAGGGGGGGAAATTTGACCAAACTACAACTCTTCTGCCACAGAGTGATCGTGACCAGTCCACTGAGTGCAACGACAGAGTCCAGAGGAGTCAGCGTCAGTGTCAGCGAGGTGATTCAAATGTTTGCGTACAAATTTGTAATGAACAAGACAACACATAATCCTCTCCAAATTAATCCCACAGAAGCATCTGCACCAATTCACTTGCTAAAATCAATGAGCCGTATCGCTGACAGAAGCATCCTCTCATAATCTAGTCTGCTGAAATCTCACAGTCAATAAACGACTGCAGTCAGAATAAACTGGACTGAACACTGAATGTGCTTCATCTCGGGTACAAGATACATAGAGGATGACAAACATGAGTTTTGGGAATATGTATTTTCATCATTTTGAAAAAGGAATAAAGAGACAACAGGTTCTGACAGGTGCACCTTTAAGAGCTTCATCTTAATAATCATTCATATATTCATATTACCTGATGGCAATTTTGAACTTTGAGGTTGTAGAATGATATCTTTTACAGTTGCTATAAGTCAAAACAGCGCATTGAAATATTGGATAATACAAAGTTAAACAGATTATGGGGTTTTTCCTCCGCTTATGACAGTGAGCATGATCAGTCTGCGTACAGTACGGGCAATTTGTCTGTGTTGCTTCATTTGACAGATATCTATTTTTCTATTTTTGTCTTTTTTCTGACTTTCTGAGAAACAAAAGCGTTTATTGCTCTTGAGTAAATAAAGCCCCAGTTGACAAAACTGGTTAAAAAAATCAGAATTGTTGTTTTTATTCTCGATTCTTATCATTCTAATGATGGTGATTTTAATTTAGTGCTGACTTAAACCTCTTTTGGGGGCACTAAAAATTCCTCTATGCAGGGAAAACTCTGGTTTATCAGGAGCTGGGTTGTAACTAATGAATATTTTCACTCTAAATTAATCTTTTTGTTTTTTTTAGTTACACTATTTGATAACCTGCTGTCCCCAGCAGGAAAAACAAAACCCAAAGTGCATGTTCACTTTGCTTATTTAATCTGACAAGTGATCCACAACCCAAAGAAGAAGAGAAGCAGCAAATCTGCACATTCCAGGCCATCAAACATTTATTTATTAACCATTATTACATAATGAACTAACTGTTTCAGGACTGTTTGGAAACTTCATAAACACTTTATGCAAAAAAAGAGAGAATAGGCAAAGAGTAAATGCTGCATGTTCTGTTGTTGGACGAGCTGAACTGTAGAATAAAACATGTAAGTTGGTTTAAAAATAGCCTGATTACATAAAATGACTTTTACCTGGATCTGCAGTTTGTGCTCACCTATTGCATAAAACATAGCAACGCTGTGTGTGGTAGATGCTGAAACATCTCCCGCCCCGGTGAAGAGCAGATGTTCGATGTATAGTTAACGTCATACGAGGAGCATCCGCGGTCCGGAGGGCAGCACATATGGGCGGTACGAGGAAACACACCATTTAGTTAAATCTACTCCACACTGGTCACAAGTTGCTGTTATCCTAGAGCCAATGTCATCCCGCTGCCCTGATGCTCTATTTTCAGCCCAGGGTCCTGAGCTGCTGAGAGGGGCTTAGTGGAGGGTGGGATCTATAATGCTGTAGTTAACATCTGCCCTGTATACAAGCTGCCCCTCCTTGGCACTCAACTCAGCATCCTCAGCATCAAGAATGACAAGTAGCCTGCGGGGAAAGCAGAAACGTCCGCTTTCATTTTTGTCCTCAACGAATTTGGCCAATTTGACAGATATTGATAGTTATATTTAGACATCTTTAGATTTCTGCCAGACAGCATCATGTGGGATTTACACCGACTCAGTGTCCCGTCATTGCTATAAGCAATCTGTAATCAGTGTAATCAATTATCAGAGGTCAATCATCGCTTTAAAAAAAAAAAAAAAATGCAGTACACGCATAACAGGGATTAGCCTGCAGAGGCCACCTGTGACAATGGATTCACAACCCTGTAAAAGTGTCATTATCACAGCCAGCAATGCAGAAGTTCATTCAGATTACAGGCCCTTTAAGATCAGCAGCATCGTATTTGATTGAGCAGGTTGGATACGTGGCATTAAAGCACGTATTCATAAAGTATGGGATTCTTATCGATGCCAAAAAAGCAGGTTGGTTCAGAAGGGTAAACAAACTGTAGCTAGTCTGAACAATAGAAACTTTAAAGTTCTGACACATGAATGCAGGAGTTGTGCTTTAACACTAATATCACCATGCATGTCAAAACATACAAGGATTAATGATGTATTCCTTTCTGCTGACTCTTTGTCTGAAAATCATTCTTCAGTGCTTTTCAACCTTTTATGGCTTATAATGAAGCAATGCTATTTCATTTGGGGCCTGGTTAAAGGTTAAAGTATCCAATTTATTACCCTTTATTTGGTAGTTTGATGAAATAAAGGTTGAAAACACTTGTAAATCTTCAGCCACAAGGCCACCCCAAGTATCAAATATTTAAAAGGGAGGAGAAAAAAAAGCAAAACTGAGAGAAAAGTTAGTTTTTAAATGATCACAGATTGGTGTTACTTGTTGTATCGAACTTTTTATCTTTATTTTGGTAGTGTGATGAAGTAGAGATAGAAAACACTTCAGCCACAAGGACGCCCCAATCGTCAAATATTTAAAGACAAAATTCAAGCAAAACTGAGAGAAGAGTTTTAAAATCATCACAGCTTGGTGTGACTGAGTTTTTTCTCCTTTCTTTAATCATCTTGGAAACCATTAGGATTGTCTTGGGCCCAGTAAAGGGTCCAAACCCCAAGATTGGGAACCACCACTCCAAGTCATGTGCCTAGTTCTTCTGCTGTGGGCACATTAATAAGAGAAATCCTGAAAGACAGATGGTTTACATCCTTATCAGCTTTCACTGTTTACCAAAGAGAGGCAGGAAGAGAAATCTTACCGCAAACAGTCTGAGGACGTTGGCCACCATGATGGACACCGAGCTGCCAGACGCCCCGATGACCCCGACCACTCTCTCCGGTTTGGGGATGATGGGAGGTTCCCCGTTTGAGCAGCGCACATCTGAGTTGTCCTTCTGGATGAGGGCCTGGACGAAGGTGAGCGACTGCTCCAGGGCGTAGGTGTCTCTGGAGCAGGTGTCCAGGATCCGAGCCCCGAGTGTGATGTTGGGCAGCAGGTCCGGGTCGCTGTTGATCTGGTCCAGAGCGTACAGCATGGCCTCCAGTCGATGGATCCCCTTCTCTCTCTTGATGTCCCCACAGGGAACCCCAGCTGGGCCTCGGGAGTGCATCGGGAAGAGCCCGCCCAGGGTGATGTCTCCCTCAATTTTGATGGACTGAGGCTGGGTGCCTTGTTGGGTCACCGAGACCTGACTGATACCCAGCAGCAGAAGCCAAAGCAGCTGAAGCCATGTCCGGTGTCCAGTGAACGTACCGAGCCAGCAGCAGTGGTGGGATGGTCGGGCCTCTGATGTCATGATGACGACCAGCAGTGGTACTGACAGCACCTGGCCACTCCCTATACCTCTCACCTGAGGGCGATCAGAACGGGGCGTTAAGGTCTGAGCATCATCACATCATGTGAATATCATAGTCTCTCTAATGAGGTAAGCAAGGCTAGAAACTATTTTGATCCCAGTGTTCCCAGTGAAAACCATTTTGCAGCTGTTTTACTATTTCCCAGTAAAATATTTAAATACATCCTGCAACTTTTGATGATTACACTACATCAGATAAAAACTGTACATTTTTATCTATCATTTTGATGACATGTGTGACATGTTTTAGTTACACAACACAAGATTGTAGTTGTAGCACAGCTGCCAGTGTGTGTGGAGTTGATGAGGTCAATGCTTAAAAGTGATTCCCTTATTAGGTAACAAAGTGTATAGATGCAGAAAGTGCACTTACACCGTAACATCTGTGTGTTGTGTTAAATCCGAAACGGAGAAAATGAAGGAAAAGGAACAAAATACAAGCTATATGCGTGAACACTGTTTTAAAAAAAAGCTGTGGCTGAAGAGGAGGTTTTTAGACAGCATGCAGGATGACACAGAGTGAACACTGGAAGCTTTTACCACGAAGAGCTGAGAGCCGATGATGGAAAACATTATAAATTTTGCAGAACAAAAAACATCAACTAAACCTTCACAGCATTTCATGCTCCAAAAGCTGGAGAAGGTTCATTATATCTGCGTCTGCAAAAATCCTCAGTAATCATCTGAGCTCCCTACATTTTTTAAAATTACAATTGTAGTTCAAAGGGTGTAAATATATTCAGTGTTTGTGGGCTAGAATTTGGACGCCGCAAAATATCAGTTACAAGGAATCTTGATTTTGCTGTAATAATAATTAGAAGATATTAACAGTTTGCATGCTTAAAGGTTTACTTTCTTTACAATTGTGATACACTTACTTTCACTCTCATATTCATGATGCCCCATTTTTCTTTTTTTTTTCCTGCACTTTGCTTCTAAAGTTTAATTCAAGAAAATGAATTAAAATCGATACGAGCATGATGTGAATCTGCAGGAACATGAGCTTCATGAATCACACAACTGTTGCAGACAATTTCTCTTTTGAAAATACCATCACAGGGAACCCTGCAAAAAGAGAAATTCCCTCATGCAAAGACACTTCTTACCTGCCCATTCTTCATCGACCAGTCCAGATTTTATCCATCACATGAGCTGTTCCACGCAGGCCTCCATCCATGGTCCAAAAAAATGTGATTATATTTCTAGAGGTAACGGCTCTCCTCTCCTCACCAAAAGTAAATCCTCTATCATCTCAGATAGTCTGTGTGCTCTCTCAGCAATGACCAAAAAAAAAAAAAAAAAAACGCACCAGAGAACAATGGTCTAAAAAAAAAAAAAAGTTGTGATTTATACAGACAAAAAGAAAATGCTGACTTTTGCAGCTTTAGGGTGGGATATCATAGCAGAGTCAGAGAAAAGTGCAGAAAAAGCACAACATTACAGCAGTGAGATTCTACAAATCACTGCCAAATCCCTTAAAAGCTCTCCCTCCTGCTCTCTCGTTCTTTTTCCTCTGTGTGCATCTCTGTCCAGGCGCCCCCTCCCTCCCTCTCTCTCTCTCTCTCTCTCTCTCTTTTTCTTTCTCCCTTTTGAACCCTCTCCTCGCTCTCTCAGTGCACTAATGGCCACAGATTGGGATTATCATGCAGGCGTCTGTGAAGAAAGCACTAGGTGGACTAGCCCGTTTTTTTTTTTTTCATACAACTGGAGCAAATGCAGAACCCTCCCCCCCAGCGTGATGGAACTCCGTCACTTTGAGAGATTAGATGAGCAGCGATTTGATTCATGGTCACACACACACACACACACTCACTTTCACACACTCGTCAACACTGACACAATGGTGGAGAATATCAGAGAGCAAAATAGGTTTCTGCACCGCAGAATGCAGCTGGATTAGATTTATTATTGATTTGAGTTGAGGCTCTGGGAAAAAGCAGCCCCCCAGATCAGTTTGCAGCTCATCTGTCAATTAGAGAGTTGGAAGTTGCACCACTACCGCCGTCTGCTGTACAAATAGAGGCATCTCGACTCTTCCGCCCGTGTGGTTTTTAAGGAATTAAAACTCACGACACAAATTGTTCTCCTTCAACATGTTTAATTTCAGGTTAACACACTCTATGACATTAGAAAAGCAGATTTCAACTCTTGTTTCAAGTCTCCGTAGGTCTGAGGTTTACTTGTACCTGTGTAAAACATGGCACTTCTGGTTTAAAAACTACCCTAAGAAGACAGACTTCTCCAAGCCGTCCTCCACTTTGGTGTACTCCAGGTGAGATTTGAAGTACTGGCTTTCGTATCTCGCGCTGCTTCGGACATATTCAAGGTAGTCAGGGGTTCCGGGGCAGATGACGTTATCTGCCAGTAAGATGCTGCCTTTCCTTAAGAGGCCACACTCCTAAAAAAAAAAGCAAAGTGAGCATCATGGGTAAAAAACTCAACAGTTTATCAGTATAGAATGAGTGTGACTGACTTGCCTCCATCAGCTTCGTGTCAGGAAGGTAGCGATCTTTCCAGTGATCCAAGAAAACCAAGTCGAATGTTTTCACCCCAAACTGCTCTGTCATTTTGGGGATCCAGTCGCCAGATGCTCCTTCGACTAAGTGGACCTGAAAAGAAAAGAAACATCCTGTCATCTGACCCAAACACAGCCTGCAGCTCTCAAAGACTTCCTGCTTTACCTTATCCTCCACTCCAGCCCAAGCAATGACCTGACGAGCGACAACAGCAAAGTCTGGGTTAAACTCAAGAGTGATGAGTTTGGCGTGAGGAGGAAGCCGGCTGGCGATCCGCACCGTGGAGTAGCCACAGTAGGTCCCCAGCTCCAGCACCGTGGCCGGGTTCACCTCAGACACCACTGAGTCCAGAATGCAGCCTGTGGTGAAACAAACAAACAAAAACACACAAAGCTAGGTCAGGAATGATAAGAATTTCACTCATGAATGCACAGAATCATCAAATTACCAACTCTGTACCTTTCTCATCCCCCACATTCATGGCCCACTCCTTTTGCCTGCAGAACTGATCGATGGCCTGGACCACGCTGCGAGGGTCTCCTCTAGTGGCGTTCTTCTGTACTGCACCCAGGAGTCGCTGGAGGAAAAACACACACTTTTCTAAAAGGTCAGGAAGGTGCTACTGTATAACTACTGAGCTATCAAAATGCAAATTAAACAATATTTGCGTTGGCACAGATCCCGTTGGCTGATGTTACCTCTCCTCCAGTTCATTTTTTCTGAGGATTTTGACCATTTAGACACAGTGTTGTTCATCTTTATCTCCCTTCATGTGTGGTTTTGTATGACGACTACTAGATGTCACCTGTAAATTCAAATAACTGTGATTCTCTCATGTGGCTCCGGTCTTACTTGCATTTATTTCTGTATCAGCACTGAGGTTTTTATGGATGTATACACAACTACCTTAAACAAAACACTGCACAAATGGCAAAATCGTGCTTCTGTGGATGCTGGACAAGAGATAAATTTTACATTCATTTGGATACGTTTCATAGATGATTGTCTTGAACTCTACAAGAGATTTATTAAATTATTTTGTGGTCACACACTTTTTCCTCTTTATATGAAAGTCACAAGTGTTTTGTTTTTTTAATTGACATCTTTGCAATACAAGCTCAAAGTGAATTAGTGTTTTTTTCCTAGTTGACAGACTAAATCAAGGCTGCAGAGAGCCAGCTTTGTAGACTTAAAGTGATCTGTAGCGATGATCAAAAAGCCACGACGGATTCAGGAAGACACGATATCCTGAACATATGTTTGCCCGCGGCGTATAATACAAGACACATGTATACTTATTTTTCTTTCTCGTCTACCCTCAGCATGTTTCCAGCTCCTGCGCACCTGGTTCCCATCAGCGGATCACCACTGTGACCTGCTACCTGCCTGCACAGCTCTTTCACATTAGCTCATTAAGCCCCTTGTATGTGCTGTACCGGCTGCTCCTTCTCAAGAGACCCTCGAAGCCGCTTTACGGTTTCTCCTCAGCACACACAAGACATGCTGTCAATGTCAATCAGAGCAGGGGTGTAGCTCCAACACCTGTGTTTGTGCAGAGGCCTTGTAGAACTATAATTTATAGGGGAATTACACGAGTGTGTCGAAATAGCTTTAAAGCATTTCCCAAATACTTCAGGGATTTAAACCAACGAGTTTTCAGTCTTCAACTCCAACCTGTGACATACACGACATGCTGAATTACACAGATACACAAAAACATCACAAACTGTCCAGAAGGGTGCAGTATGTTCAGCTGGAGTTGGTTTTCTTGTTAAAAAGTTTTCTGAGAGAGACCATGCCTGCAAGTCTGAGTATTACACGTATAGTCTTAAGGTTTGTACATTTCTGCAGTTTGTATCTGTTTGTTAATTAAGATGCCACATTGTGCACAAAGTGTGATCAAAAGAGAACAGAGCCCGAAGCTTTTATAACAGACAGGTACAGATAAAGCCACCCTAATTAATTAGCAGAAAGAAAAGAGAAGGAGCTGTTCTCATTAAACAAGTAGAGATTTTATTGTTTGTGAGGATGTATGCAAAAATACATAAAGAAAAATGGGCTTTTTTGGTATAGATTCATTAGTGAAGCTGTTATTGTTTTCATCGCATTTGTGTATAAAATTGTCGCAAAATGCCATCCTGGAGAAGCAGTTTTAGTATTTATTAGTTGTTTATTTGTCCATCTATGGGTAGATTTAGCAACACGATAGTGACACCGTACTTGTGTTATAACATAGTAATTACTACAACGTTGCATGATTACATGTTCACGGACATTGAAGTTGGTGTGATCCCGTCACAAGATGTTGTCTACATGAAATTTTTATTAGAACTGAGTACAAAATTTCTTCAAAACTTTTTCCACCTGCACAGTTGTTGAATTAAGAAAATAGAACATTTTCATTGATAAGATTATGGAACTAGCTGTTTCAGCAGTCAGTACTAACACAGCTACATACAGATGTGGATGGCAAATTAAAGGAACAACTAACGTAAAGTGTCTCAGTGAGGTGTTGGGCCACGATGTACTGAACAGCTTCAACGCTCCCTGACAATGATTCTCCAAGTCTCTGGAGCTATACTGAAGGGATGAGCAGCTTTCTTCCAACAGATATTTAATAATGAATTGTTTAGATGAAAGAGCGCCAACACATTGGTCCAGAATCTCCCATAGACTGGTGACTGAAGGCTGTCACACATGATTCACATCATTTCCATCAAACCATTCAGTGACCCCTCATGCCTATGGATGGAGACACTGTCATCCGGAAGAAACCACTCTGATTGGGATAGAAATGTTCCATCATTGGATAAACTTAAGAATAAACTTGCATTGATTTGTAGTGACCCTTGACTCTACAGAGACAGGTAGACCCAAACCATGTCAGCAAAACTCCCTCACAAGTGTAACAAATCCCCCGGACCCCGTCACTGTGGGGGAGAAAGGATTCAGGTTTTTCCTTTAATTTGTCCCACATCTGTATATTCTCTTAGATTATTTTCTGCATGTTAGAGACTGTTAGAGACAGGTGCAACTACTAACATTAACATCTCCCAGTGTGTAACAGCAGGGTAGTGGGATTCCCACAGTGAACAGAATGGCTATTACACTGTTAATGGTATTAACTACACCTGTGAAAGATCTGCTTCATTTATATTTAATCCTGACTTGTCCTCTGTTTTCTTAAAAACTAAGTGAAGCTGAATGAAGACAAAGATCTGATTAGGAATCTGTTGAGTGTAAATTGAATAAAGTGTATTCATAATGACAGTGCAAGAGATCACAGTTATATTAGTTAGAAAGAAAAAGGTTACCCTTACAGTGTTGCTCAACTGATGGCTACTACTTTACCGAGAGTGAAATATCTCAACAGCTATTTGTAGGTTGACTCTTTATGACTGCAATCATCAGATCAAATGCTATCTTGTGTTTGTGATCAGATACATTAATTCTGACATTACCATGATTCTGAGCTGTCCTTTGCATTGACTAATGACTCAACTCTTACATGTTAAATTAAGATGGTGAGCTTAAAGTGTAAATGTGCCTAAATACAGACTCACAACGATGCTTGTTGACTATTTATCAGTAAAGGTAACTATAACATTTGTATAGATTCAGAGTTCTCTTTATACCCTGTGGCCAGTTCATTAGATACACCTAGAAAACCTCAAGCATTTTGGCCTTGCAGTGGATGGATCACGTCACTCTTAAAGTGGACACTATGTACGAGTGTACGCGCATATTGAAGTACATACAGTTCATGTGTGTGCCCACGAAACAATTTATTAGGAACAGCATACTGATGCTGGGTAGGGCCCCTGTTTGTACTAAAAACATTCATTTTTGGTGTTTTGGATTCCACAATATGTCGGAAACATTCCTGTTAGATCCCATATTGAGTCAGTTCCATCACAGGCATGCTGCAAATTTCCTGTTCTTCCACATCCCAAACATGTCTTATTTGATTCGGACTCGGTAGCCGGGGGAGGCCACTGAGATGCACCAAACTCACTGCCATGTTCACGAAACCAGTTTGAGAGGACTTTCGCTTGGTGGCGTGCATGCAATACAATTCAAATTAAAGCCGCAAGCGGCGATGGACGGGTCCTCGCCCTACGCTTGTCAGCCTTTGCGCACGGCGGGGTGTGG